CAAATGTTTATTAGCCATTCGTCTGTCTTCATCAGTGAAGGTTCTGTTCGTATCTCCTCCCAGCGGTACATGGGATTGTTTACTCTTTTTTTGTTGATTTTGAGTTCTCTATAGATTCTAGTTATCAACCTTTTGTCAGATTCATACCCTGCAAATATCTTTTCCCATTCCGAAGGTTGTTTTTTTTGCTTTATTTGTTGTGTCCTTAGCTGTGCAGAAGCTTTTTAGCTTAATTAAGTCCCATTTGTTAATTTTTGTTGCTGTTGTGATGGCTGCTGAAGTCTTTGTCATAAAATGTTTCCCCAGTCCAACATCATCAAGATTTTTCCCCACACTTTCTCCTAAGATTTTTATTGTTTCCTGTCTGGGATTTAAGTCTTTTCTCCATCTTGAGTCAATTTTAAGTGGTAAAAGGTGTGGGTCGAATTTCAGTCTTTTACATGTGGTTATCCAGTTCTCCCAATACCATTTGTTGAATAGGGATTCTTTTCCCCCACTGTAAGCTTTTGTTTGATTTATCAAAGATTAGAAGCAAGTAGAGATTGGTTTCATCTCTTGGTTTTCTAGTCTGTTCCATATATCCATGTCTCTAGTTTTGTGCCAATACCATGCTGTTTTGATTACTGTGGACTTATAATATAGTCTGGTAAGATGATGCCTCTTTCTTTGTTTTTATTACTAAGAATTGCCTTAGCTATCTATACAGGGTTTTTCTGGTTCCATATAAAACAAAATACCATTTTTTCTAGTTTTTCAAAATATCATGTTGGTATTTTAATGGGGATTGCATTTAATCTGTAGATTGCTTTGAGTGGAATAGACATTTTGACAATGTTGATTCTTCCCAGCCAAGAGCATGGTATGTTCTTCCATTTGCTGGTGTCTTCTACAATTTCTTGTCTTAGGGTTTTATAATAATTTATAACAATTTATAATCTCTTTGAATAGATCTTTCACCTCTTTTCTTAGGTATATTCTAAGCATTTCATTTTCTTTGAAGCTACCATGAAGGGAATTCTGTCTTTATTTGCTTCTCAATTTGGCTGCTATTGGCATATACAAAGGTTCCTGATGTGTGGACATTGATTTATACCCTGAGACATTACTGTATTTCCTGATCACTTCCAGGAGTTTTGTGGTTGAAGGAACAACATTTTAAGAAGAAAACTACTTTAGTATAGTAACTGGTCCTTATTTATTTCTTAACTATACTTTTAAGTATCTATTTAAATGTAAATCATGTTAGTTCTATTAAGCTTACAGAAATTATGTGATGCAAATTCGCAAGTAAATGTTAATTCACTTATTTTTGATTCTTTAATAGTACTTATAATTATGTTACTTATGTAGTTATAAATTTCCTGTAATTTCCTACATTTCCTAAGAAAATGTTCTGCTTTAAATAAACCAAGATTACAAAATATTATCAAACAAAAATGGATTTATTTCACTTACAAAAGGATTTACCAAATGATAAAACAAAAACTGCCTTATGTATGTAAAATATACTTTACGCTTTAAGGTAATTTCATGAAGATACCTATTATATAAATCAATAAATGGATATGTCAGTTCCATATACTTTAAAATGAAAAACTTAAAAGAATAAGATACTTAATTAGTAAGGATAACAAAGACTCAGAATAAGCATAGCAAGCACACTAATTTGGTTTTCTCACCTTCAGAAAAAATGTAATATTGCTTATACTACTTGTTTAATGAGATAGTATTTAAAAAGTATTAAATAATGGGACTGCTGAACAAATTAAAATAGATGATGAATATTAAATTACCCTGTAGACTGTATACAAATGTAAGGAAAAAAAAGAAAAATATATGGTTGAGATACAGAGGAAGTAAGCTGCAACATGAACAATAAGGGCAGGATCCAGTACTGTCACTAACTGAAATGTGGCTTAAGGCAATTGACTTGACCACACTGAGTTACTCAAAGACTTCATTTCCAACAATAGGTAATCTGAGAAGATTAGGATTAGATAATTTGACAAGATCAAAATTTTTACAATAGATTGTTTTCTCATTTCAATCTATTTTCCTAATGAGTCTACTAAATTTTCTCTCAAAAGAGCATTCCTTTTTCATTTCCATGGTCCCAACTTTAGTCTCATCATTATTTCCTAAAATAAATCAAGTAGATTTCAAACTCGTCTCTCCACTGCTGGTCTCTTTTTTAATTCATTGTTGATAATGCATCTTATTTGTTAAGAAAAAATTATCTAGTAATAAAAGTTACTAATGAACAATGATTTCTGGATCTCATCTCTTGCCAATTCCCCCTATGTGATTTACTTTCCAGACTACTCACTCACTATTTTCAAACCACATTCTTGTTTTGCTTTTCACATATTTGATTGAACTGGCCTTTTGCTTTTTTTTTGTTAAACTCCTCAATTTTTACCTAGTTTAAAAGTTTCTCTACCTTTAGGCCTTCATTAACTTCCCTTTGGCAAAAAAATCCTACAACCTTAAGCCAGGCTCAGTGGCTCACACCTGTAATCCTAGCAACATGGGAGGCCCGAGGGGGGAGGACTTAAGCTCAAGAGTTTGAGACTAGCCTGCGCTAGAGCAAGATCATTATCTCTACTAAAAATAGAAAAAAACTTAGCTGGGTATTGTGGCAAGCACCTGTAGTCACAGCTACTTGAGAGACTGAGGCAGAAGCATTGCTTGAACCCAGGAGTTTGAGGTTACTACAAGCTAAGCTGACACCACAG